TAGTTACATCTGTAACCGCACTATTTCCAAACAAGGCCACATTCTGAGGTACTGGGGGTTTAAGACTTCATAGTATGAATTTGGCAGTTGGGGGGTAGGTGGGTGTGGTTAGGAGACACGGTTCAAACCACAACATCATCTAAGGTAGTTTTGAATTCAGAATCAAACTCAAGAGAAGGAACAGAATGGATTGCCCAAAAGAGTGCCTCATACTATAATTCCAAGTGATGGCATGGACAACTAACATATCGTATTGGTAGGGTGGGGTGTGACATTAGTACACAGACACCTGGGATCTTATGCTTACAAGTAAGCGGATACACATTAATTGAGGTTGCTTTTTGCAGAGATACACTGGGGTCTCTACAAAACCCTAATTTGTATTCACCAGTTTTTATGGCAAAACCTGCACAGGTATGTGGAAAAATTTAGTGTTGAAGGAAACTGTTAGCCAGTTACAGAGTGAAAAGGGGCATCTTGAGAACATTCAAAACACTTTAAATTCCTTGATACTTAATCTCAAAGTGCTTCTAGTCCTAAGGTTCTGTGTAGTTATGTTTGCCAAAAAGATTCTATATTAAAATTGGGTTTCCTTTTATAAGACTGGGGGAGGGGCTTCAGTTTTCCTTGTCAGTTTAGGTAGGGCTAAGCCTTAGAGTGTTCTAGTCATTTTCTTCCCTGGTGTCTGCCATTAGACTGCAGAGTATTTTGTGAAGCTGAAAACCATCTGTGAAATTCAGCCCCAGACCATGTGGCAAAGACCAGTGTCTACCTCTGGGGCAGAGATGAGGTAGTATAGCACAGGAGGTAGGAGCACAGACCATGGTAGCAGATCTGGTTCTGTCTCTTCCTTAGGTGACCTTGGGCAAGTTACATGGCCTCTGTGGCCAAGGTTTCTCAGCTAAAGCTATCCTTCATAGAGTTGTGATAGGTCTAAAATGAGATAGTAGATGGCAGAACGTCCACTGTGGTAGCAACCGCTTAACCAATGGTACTTCTAATAATTGTACCAGAGAACTAGGCAGCGAACCCTGGAAAATTGAACTTAGTCTCCTTCTGTCTTGTTAACCTCTTGGTTGTTAAGGACTCTGAGAGTCCTTCCTCATTACTTGATTCATCTTCATACCTCTTTTGAAGACCAACCAGTGGGTCCTGGTCTTTTCCTTCTATCACCCCTGCATCTCTGTGGCTTCTGGGGAGATCTTCACCATCCAGTAATCACACGTGACTGTACCATCAGAGAGAGGAATTTCAGAGACAGGACTGTTCACTAGTGAGAAAGTTATGTTTGGGAGATTTATTTCCTCTGTTGTGGAAAATTTCCAGAAGCCCAGTGCACTGACCATTATTTCCTTATTTTCTGTATTCTTGACGTTCTAGCATTTGGGCCTTGATCCCAGAGAGACTGACCCTCCTAGGACTTAGCCAACTCCTAGAAATAGCAAACTCCCCTAAGAGTGTGCCTTTGATAATACAATTCCACCAATCCAGAGCCCATACCCCAACTCTCTCCTTTGTCAGACTCTCATACAGCAAGACACTATTGCCCCTAAGTCTCCCCGGGAGAGCCACTAGACAACCAGAGACCATCCTATAGCTCAGAATCTGCTGTAATTATTCGAACTAGCAAATCCCAAGACTGCTCAGAGTAGCCACCATGCTTCACCCAAACCTTTCCTTGAAAACTTGAAAACCCCAATAAAGGCTTTGGGCCATGCTCTCCCCGCCTCTCCCCCTGCCTCCTGACTGACACTGGGGTTTCTCCATGTAGCCCTGTGTGGTGTGAATTTCCTCCTGCTTCTAGGGATCTGTGAGTGTAAACTTCTCCCTTTGCAACAGTATTTTCCTATCCGCATGTCTTACCATACTTGAGTAAAACAAATCCCAGCTACATTCAACAACACCCAGGCATGACAATTAGCCGTCTTACAGACCTGTTCCCCGACCCTTTCTCCTATTTCCACTCTCCAAGCTCCTCAGCTTTAGCTCTTTCAGTCCAGATGCCTGCTGACCACATCCATCCGAGCCTCTCTTCCTGAGCACACAGAAGTGGAACGGTGTGCTGAATCAGGTACCACTCCCAGCCAAGAGTCAGAAGAGGGAGACTGAGTCTCTCAGCTCGGCCAGTTATCACTGTGACGTCACGGGAACATTGCTTCACCTCTGTGAGCTTCTAGAATGATACAATCAGCTCAGATGGGTCAAATGAAATGTCTCAGAGATTCACTCCTAACATGTCAGCATAGGTGGCTGCAGGTCACCTCCCTCCCTCCCATAGTCCGTCATCCCAACGCACTTACACACAGGTCTCAGAGCTAATGGCTAGAAGACCTGTGGTGAGAACCCAGAATCCCAGACTCAGTTTACTGCTTCCCCCGCCACACCTATTTGCTCCCTCCTTGGAGCCTCCATTAAGGAGTCTAGTTTTCCATTCCACTTTCTGTCATGACCCTGGGCCCATCACCTTTCTATTCTTCTGTATCTTCTTTCTTTGGAAAAAACAAAACAAAACAAAAATGGATATCATCCTATCACTCCCTCCAAGGAATAAATTAAAATCACCAAAGAATCTTCTCCTGGTAGCTGGAAAGCCTTCTCATTTCAGGATCATATCTGCTTTCAGAGCCTGGGACAGAGAACTTTGTCTCGTAAAGACTCCACAGCCTTAAGCAGGCAATGGGAAGAGCTTCCTGAACAGATATGAGGAAATTTATCCAGTATGGAAAAAGTCTTCCAAATCCTAAAGACTTGAGCAACCTCTTGGATCAGAAACTCCCAGTCTTTCTAAACACTGTCCATGTACAACAGTCATTGTGAAGCTAATATGTTATTGAGCTATGTACTAAACATAGGGCTGAGCCCTTTATATGCATTATTGCATCATTTAGTCATTGGATCAACAGTGTCCCCATTCCCATGTCAAGACAGGGAATCCGATGCTAAGAGGGATGATTTCTCCAAGGTCAATCAGCTTGTACGTGTGGGAGCCCGAGGAGGTAGCACTAGCTGTATGGTTCCAGACTGGAGTTCTTGACCATTATGCTCTCCTGCTGGATGTCCCCTCCCTGATCTTCCTTCTACCTCTGCATCCAAAGCAGCTCTCCTCAAAGCTGACAGCTGCAAATGGTGGGGACTCTCAGGGGCAGCTCTGGGAGGGCTGCCTCAAGCTCCATGTTGATCCCTGCTTCTAACCCTGAGGACCCAGCCACCAGGGACTGGAGTCACCTTCTCAACACCAACAAATACTATAGTGTCCAGTCCTGTTTCTTTTTTAAGAACAATTTCTAATTTTAAATAATATCCTTTCTCTTCAACACCCTTCCTTGAAAATGAAGCTTCTCCCAATAACTACCAGTTCAGGACCCAGCTAGGAGCCAAGAATATCTTTTCAGTCAGAGAGGCAACCCAAAGAGAATAGTGATGAGAGTCTGCTGAGTAAGTACTCACAACACTCCAGCCATCCCTGTGCCAGGACTATTCCACGCATTGGCTCACTTAAACTTAGAACACAGTATATGAGCCTGATCACTCTTCTTGCCCCTCCATGTCCACTCTCCACCATTCTCCACCCTGCCCTTTAGCCCAGGTTGACAAATATGGACAGTCTCAATGGGCTTCCTTGCCATTGGCTTCTAGCTGGTTTCTGCTAATGTAAAGCTCTGGTAGAAGACTGAAGGGAAGGAGAAGATTAAACTTAAGATACTTCTGCTCTGGCTTCTTCCCCTCAGGTCTCCTTGGTTTAGATGGCTTCCTCAGTGAAAGGTCACCATGATTCTCAAGGTGACCTTCTTTCTATGATTCTCTACTCTTGGGACATAGGAGCGTTCCTCACATGAGCCCGTGAAGGCTTGACAAAAGTTATGCATCTCAGAATATCTTCAAACTTCTCTTTTCTTCTCTCTTCCATATATAACTGTTTCTAAAACCCCGGTGTGCAGTAAAGGGTTAACACAGCAAATCTGGGATATTCAACCCAAGTACATTCCAAAGAAAGAACTGGTTCTTGACTAACTCCTGGGAGGTAACCTCTATACCCTTGGAATATTCTGCCTGTTACCAGATAGTTTATGTTAATAATGTGATTTATGACAGGGGCAACTGGCCATGTGGCATTAGTTTGAAATCTGGAAGAACCAGACACTGAGTAACTAAGGCCAGCTACATAGGACTCCATGTCTGGGTGACTGACCCCCAAGAAAAACCCTGATGCCGAGGCTATGAGCTTTCCTGGTTGACAACACTCCACAGATGTTGTCACACGTCACTGCTGGGAGAATTGAGCCCTTCTGTACAACTCTACTGGGAGGGACAACTGGGAGCTCGCACCTGTTTTCATTCCTGGACCCCACGCGGTGTAACTTTTACCTTTGCTGACTTTAATCTGTATGTTTTTCACTGTAAGAAATTGTAACCTGAGTTTTTCTGAGTCCTTTGAATCCTTCTAGTAAATCGCTGAGGCTGAGGGTGGTCTTGGGGACTCGGATCCACCTGGGAAACAAGAGTCCAGCCATGACTTACTGCCATGATGGGTGGCCACACAGGTGAAAAACAGACATATGCTCATCACCCAAGTGGATCTTCCAGGATGGAGAAACTAGGGCCGAGGGCAGGGGTGGCTGGTGGTCCAAAGACAGTTCTAAGCATGTCAAGGGGCTTCTGGGACTATGAGTCCATAAGGTAGCATGCGAAGGGCAGATAGAAATATATCCAGGACCCAACCTTTGGTGCTCTAACTGGAGGGGAGATGCTGGGTTGAATGGAAGAGGGTCTAACTCAATGTGACATTTCGCATACTCTTGTGTCATGCACCATTTTATTTTATTTCTAACCCAAGTTTCAAGAAAAAAGAAAAGTGAGTCTGAGTCCTCTAAGAGAGAACAAAGCAAAAAAGAAAAATACAAATACCACCATACTTCAGCTTAGTGCATTTTCCCTTTAGAGGACAAGTGCCATTGGCTTCTTACCAGAGTAGGTCTCATAACCCTCTGCAGCTACAGACTGGAGCAGCAGACGTAAGTTAGCCCCAGGGGTCCCCCGTCCAGCCCTTGCGCCAACTGGTGCTCCCCCACTCACCTGGCCCCACTGACATCAACTCCGACCATCAGCTGCCCGTTCAGGGAGAGGATCTCGTCTCGCAGTCGGACCTTCCCGCTCTTCCCGGCCGGGCTGTTCTTCCTCAGCTCTGTCACCCAGATGCAGCCAACGTCCAGTACAGGGCCCGGGTGGGTCTTCCTCTTCTTGCCCCCTCTGCGCTTTTCTCCGTAGTCCCCGAAAACAGGGATGTTCCCAAAACTGAGGCCCACAGTCTCTGCGTCCCCCAGCTGCTTGGTGAGGTACACAGTGCAGATTTCCATCCCCGGGGGGCTGCGGTCGGGTGGGACGGCGCTCTCATCCACGGCAAAGTTCAGCTGGATGTACTCCTGCAGCTTCTGGATGGCCGCCTGGCAGAGCCGCTGCTCGGGGCCATCCCCGCCCTCCCGCAGGCTGTTCTGCAGCCACTGGTAGAGGAGGGGCAGGTGCAGCACGGCATTGTCCTGGGTGATGGGCATGGTGCTCACTCCCAGACGCCAACATCATGAGAGGACCTGCTTCTGCGGGCTGGACCCCGGAAGGCCCCATGTCCCTTGGGAACCTTGGCTGTCATCGGCTTTGCTTGTGTTCATGTTCAGGCTGGCAGATGAGCCTACAGGATGCCTACTCGAGACTGGGCTGTTTGCTTTGGCAAGAGGAGGAGAGGACACAATCAGAGCAACAGGCGAACAGCCGCTGGGCCTGGAGCCCTCTGCAAGAGAAGGAAGGAAGTGTCTGACAAGTTCTCGTGGGGCTCCCTTCACAGCAGGGCCCGTGCAAACGACCCAGAAATGCAGTATTCCTCCAGCAGACACAGCATGACCTCACCTGGTCCCATTCAGGCCTGGAAGTGGAAAAAACAAAAACATCTCGGTCACAAAAGTAAGCCCTCTGATACAGATCACGTGGCCTCCTGTAACACAGGACTATGTTTGCTTTTGTGAGCCAGGTAACTCACGCCTCTCCTCGCTCCCCAGCTAAGATCCCTCCACCCTGTATGCACAGATGTACTGACAGACACAGACACGCAGATACACAGATGCACACACACATACACACCCTTCCCCCAGACAGAAACCTCTGGAACAATGACTTTCTCCAGGAAGTTTTCCTGATTATCAGGGAAATAAGATGACTTTTTCTAAAACAACTCCCATCAAACTCATCTCCAACCAGGAGGCCAAGTGAAAGACTCCTTGGAAGACACATGTAAGAGCTTACATTTTTAGGAAGTTAAAATCTATGTCCATTTGCTTTGATCAGCTCAACGGCATACACAGGAAGGCTCTCCATTCCAGGACTGACAGTGATGTCCGGAAGAGGAAGAGCCAATTAACAGCACAGAGAGATTCAGGCTCTGGCTTAGGACAAGACCCCTCCTAAGCTCAGCCATCATTCCGTCTTGATCACGCAGCCTCAGAGGGGATCGCGTCCCTATGCACTGTGCAGCTCTTAGTCGCTTCTCTTTTGGTTAACTGTTGGGACTGACCTACTCTTAGTTCAACCCCATAGCTATCTCCTCCAAAGAAATATTTCTCCATGCTTCTAGGTGAGGAGACTTGGCCCGCCCGTGGCTCGCCCTTGACCACCCTTGATGCATCCCCCCGCTGCATTGCCAGCTGCGGGAAGCAGGTCTCCCCTATGAGAGCTGGCAGCCATCCAGCCCCCTGAATTCTGCACGGTGCCTGGCACACAATATATCCCCACAATGAAAGGCTAATTGAATTCCACTGCCCATCCACTAAAGAAAACTCAGCTCCATCCTTCGTAAACACAGAAAAATTACTCTTTTCATTCTCTTCTCTGAATTTCACTTTCTCCCAGAGAAAGTCAACATAAACTATGGCATCTAAGATGGAAAACATTCTCTAGCCTTCTCAGGAAGTGATTTAACAAGGAATAATAATAAATGTGCGAGGTGTCAGAAGCCATGTCAATAATACACGACCTTATTACTCAATCACCGTAAAGAAATTTCCAATATAGCAAGTTTTGAGCTTCCAAAGAACTCGAGTGCCAGCTATTAATTGGTTCCAAATAAATCAAAAGCTTAGCAAATATCATCTACATAATCACATGCCTATTAAAAAAGAAATGTAAGATCAAAGGAAAGATAATCCATAAATGTACTAAAACTGAATGTTCCTTTTGGCCAAAATAAGTAACACCTCTCACTGCAAAGTGACTCCACACAGACATATTAAAATCTTATGAATAAATCAAAACACTTTCCATCAGGCCTAGCAATCTTTATGAGTCTCCGTTTTCTCATCTGTAAAATGAGAAAGTGAAGCTAAGTGACCTCCAAGGTCTGTCAAACTCAACAGTGAGGTCCTCAAATACAGTGTCAGTGTCCCATTCTTGGTGTACTCCCTACCCCAGCACAGTGCCATCAACTTGTAGACTCTCAATCATTTAAAACAATTTTTTAAATATCCTTTAAATTACAATTTTAATGGTCAATGATTCAGGCTGTTAGTCACAGTTCAGATGGTCCCATACCTATGAAAACAGGGTAAATATCTTAGGTAAGTTGTCTCTTTAAATAAACCTGACTGAAGAAAACCCTAGAGAATTTTTCTTCTTGCTGTCGAATTGTATTCATTCAATACATATTTACTGAACATCAATTAAGAACCAGGCTTTGAACTTGGCACTGAAAATATACCACCAATAAGGCAAATTCCTTGCCCTGAAGAAATTCACAGCTGATTGAGCTGACTGGCTCACCTTGGACCAGGGTCAGGAGACATCATCCTGACTGTTGGGAATGTTGTGGAGGAGGCAGGGAAGGAATTTTGAGAACAAGAAAAATTATTTTAAGAGATTTAGTCTTATTTTGGTGCTCATGGGCTATGTAACTTTTGAATTCCATACCTGTCATTGGGAATTTTCCAGTAATCCTTCCAGCCCCCTGTTCTATCAACTCCTTTTCCTATTTCTGTAACCAAGGGGAGTAGAAGCATTCCAATCTACTATAATGATTTGAGATGACTCTGACCATAAGAAAAAATACACAATTTTGCAATACTATAAAATGAGTGGTTCTTTCACAACATCCAAGGAAACATCCCAGTGAACAAAACATTGACCTAGAGAAGATACAGCAGGCCAGAAACCTGCAAATAGTTACAAATACCAATATCCCTCAGTGGCTGATCTGTGCTGAGGTCTAAATGCTTCTCATCTTGAAGATCAATTTCAACAGGAGCAGAATTTGTGGACATGAAGGTCCGCTGAATGTTCCAGTTCACTTTTATCTATCATATGTAATTCTCCAATTAGAGTCCCATCTCAAAGCAAATAGCCATGATAATTTAAATTAATTTTGACTTGCTTGAAGCTGACAGCCTTAGCCATTCAAAATTGAGAATGAATGCTTCTTAACAGATTTTGATACTATGTTTAGAATCTACCATCTTTCTCAGGTCCTCTTTCAGCTACGCTATGCGTGTCCAGCAGGGCAATATCACCCACAAGGGGGTGAAACGTAGTTCTGGAATGAGGAGGCCAACAAGTCTTAGATATTATAATGGTAGTGTCTGCCTGCATAACTCAATTCTATATGACAGAATCTTACCCCTTAGTATCTAATATTTTGTAGTAGAATTTTAAATTAAGTTTTTGCTCCAGGGTGAGGAGAGCAGGACAATAATGCAAAAGATGGAGAAACACCAAACGAAGTGAAACCAATCATCTGACCAAAGTCATCCCGAGAGTCACCTGAAATCCAGAGGCTAAACCCTAAAACTGTCAGAGGGGTGCACAGAAGGGTCCTCGGGTTTATCCAGACCTTATTCAAAGACAGATTTACATTGGGCTGTCTCGTATGAACTCCCTCTTATGATCGTCCTGAATTCACAATGTCCTCCTATTTTGAACTCTGCTAAGTTTCAAGTTCCTTAGTTTTCTTTTCTTCTGGACTAGATTCCTCTTTTGACTTTTAGAAAATCTCACATTTTATTTTATTTTATTTTTTATTTGTGTCCAGTAAAAGAAATTCTCACATTTTGGAAGTAAACTAATGTTGATTAAATATTTACTATTCATTCAACAGATGTTCATTGAGTGCCTGTCATACGCAGGGTCCTAAACCAAACAGTGTTCTTACAGACACTCATGAAGCTTGTATTGTGATGGTGGCAAATTAGTAAACATAAAATACTATTATGTCAGATGGGTACTGATACTATGAAGAGAATTATGGTAGCATCAGAGCGTAGTGAATGATGGAGATATGAAGGGATTAAGAAAGGCCATCTGAGAAGAGACCGGAACAAAGTGAAGGGCTGAGATGAGAGAATCTCTGTAGAGGGGCTGTTCCCTGCTGAGGGACAGCAAGTGTAAAGGCCCTGAGGTGAGAGCCTGCTTGGCTGCCTAGGGATAGGCATGGGGATAGGCGTGGCTACGAAAGAGAGAATAAGGCGGAAATGCCCCCACTAAGCTAGATGCTTCCCTATTGTCTCCTTCTCTATAAATCAAAGGCATCTGACCCTACTTTTACCAACACTGGCTAATGGTTAATGTTTTCTGAGCATAACCACACTCAGACACTGTTCTATATGAGCACTTTCCAAGGATTATCTTATTTAATTGCCACAACAATACTGTAGGGAGATATTATTAGTATATCCTTTTTGGAAACTCAGATAAATGACAAAATCAGAGTGGCTAATTAAGGCCTCGAGAGGCTAATTTCAAGTCTAATCAGATTTGGCCGTGTAGACTTTGATCTGTCCTGTAACCACTGCTCCATTACCACCAATGGGCCTCGCATAACAAATAAATAGGTACCTTGTGTCAGAAGCCAGTGACTGTCTATCTAATAGCCATTTTCTCATTTTCCCTTCATTTTGTTGGGCATGATATATTCAACTAAAACTCGGCCTTTCAATAGTATACAGCATAGTTCTGGCCAATGGGATGAAAGTAGAGATTGCTGGATGGGGCTTCATCAGCATTACTTAAGTGAAGAACAGAAATGAAAAGAAAAAATAAATCCCCATGTTGTTTAATCATTGTTATTTGGATTTTTCCAAATCCAGCTAACTAGCCGAATTAACCCCCAAACAATTAACACAACATGATACCCAGAATTGAGGGAATGAAAAGTAATAGAATCTAAAACATGGAATAGGATGAGAAAAGAAGGGAGGGAAGCAGATGTCAAGAACCTAGATATTTGGGGCTCCTGGGTGGCTCAGCTGGTTAGGTGTCTGCTTTCAGCTCAGGTCATGATCTCAGGGTCCTGGGATCGAGCCCCGCATTGAGCTCCCTCCTCAACAGGGAGTCTGCTTCTCCCTCTGCCCCTCCCACTCTTTCTCTCTGTCAAATAAATAAATAAAATCTTAAAAAAAAAAAAAAAAAAGAACCTGGATATTTGCAGACTGGAAAGGTGACCCTAGATATTTAATGTAAAATATTTGGTCAAAGTGCCACCTGCTATACCTTGGAAGGTCATTAATGTGTTGATTGAGGCTGTGGTATTAGAGAAGATGGTAGGAAACTTTTAGAATATGGGTAGATAACTTGCCATTCTCAGCAGTCTAGAGCTCCTCAACTGAGCCAGCAAGTGAGATGGGAAGAAATACCACTCTGCTAAGGAAGGTACTCATTTAATTAATTAATTAATTAATTAAGGGACAGAGAGAGAGAGTGTGTGGGGAGGGGCAGAGGGAGAAAAATCTCAAGCAGACTCCTCACTGAGCACGGAGCCTGATGCAGGGCTCCATCTCATGACCCTGAGATCATGACCTGGGCCGAAATCAAGAGCTGGATGCTTAACTGACTGAGCCACCGAGGCGCCCCTAAGGAAGGTACTCTGGACATTCAGTCTGTAATCTAAATTTCCAGAAAGGCCGGTATTCTGGACCCTGCAAGGCTGAGAAAACGTGCTTTATCAGAAGGGCGTAGAGGGTACCCTACCTGGACAGAGGTTGTGTAAGCCTGTTGCCAGAGGTGTGATTACCCACTGGAAGCCATGGTTCCAACTCTTCCAGCAGTGCACATTAAGTAGTATATGTTAAATTAAAATTTAGGGGATGGGCAGAACTCATAAGCTAGAAATAAAGAAAACAAATCATTAGGAATTGACCAGAAGCCTATTAAGCTGTTGGGGAATTGTATTGCCAAACCCCAAACCTGGTTTGTAACAGCCTGGGATGGTTCAATTCCCACAGCAATCTCATAACTCTTGTTCTCCTTCCCTTCCCTGGGCAATTCACATCTATAAGAAACCGGTAATGTGTAGAGTCCCCAGAAAGGGTGTCTTTCCAAACCTACCACAGGTGTGGC